GGGCAGCGGTACATCTGTGTCCTTCTGAGATTACATCTCTATTTCCTAGAATGTTACTAGAGGCTGGAAGAGCTTCTGGGAACACCGGCATTTCCAGAGGCACCATGTGAGCAGCTGGGACACGGGCCTGCCTGGAACTTTGCTCATCTGCACACCAGCAAAAAGAGACTTGGCCAGCTCACCAGCCTGCTCAGTTCAGTGCCACATAGCTTTTCCCAGCATGGCAGGGACAGGGACACAGCGAGCAGTGGGGGGAAGTTTATCCCACTCTCCCATCGCATGGATAATGATCAGCAATGTGGCAGAAAGTTTGCTGCAAGCATCAGCACCGGCTAGCTAGGTCTTTGGAGAAGGTTTGCTGCAAATGCATTTCACTGATGTGTTGGCAGCTGAACACAGAAACACCACTGCACACAGCAACCATGAGCAAAGCTGGCCTCATGAGTGATGAATATAAACATGTGCACACCTTGGATATACTGCATGTAGCTCATCAGCAGAGAAACCCATTCCAGGGCTAGCACTGCTAGACAAGAACCTAACAGTGAAAGGCAGAAGGAACCATCCTGGGAATAAACTGCTCTTGCTGCAGCCCTCAAGCTCAACGGACAAACCTTGACTCTGAGCTCACAAAACCAGCCCCTCGCAGAGGTTAGGTAAGATGGGTGGCTCCTGACCATGTGAAGTGTGAAGACATGGAGCTGCCTATGAGAAGGTGAGAGGGGAAAGGGTAACCATGCAAGATGGTTATGAGAGAGGGGGGCTGGCAGCAAAGGGATAGTAAGGACATGAGTGGAGGTGCAGAGCTAAGGAGATGCTGTTCCTAGTACATGCACCAGGGAGCTGGGATAAAGACTAGTTTCCAGAATAGGATGAGAAAGTGGCCACCAAGGAAAGCCAAAGTAATAGAAAGAGCAGAAATCTCTTTTGTGGGACACAGCCCTTGTGCTGAAATCCGGAGCTGAATAAGCAGAGCAGGAAGATGCAGGGTGGCCCAGAGAAGAGGAGCGCAATGAGGCTGCAGAGCTGAGGATGGCACTGTGGTAGTGCCAGTGGGCAGCTCCGCACCGTAGCAAACGGAAACGCACTCGATGCCCGTGTGGAATAAGGTGATAAATTGTGTTGCTTATTTCCTTCCATTCATTGAGATCATCTGCAGGTCCCTGTGCATCCCTCGCATTGTGTAGAAGCTGCATCTATTGGAAAAAGGCTGCTCTAAAGCAGGGGCTGTGCCTCAGCCTCACACCTCACCACTGCCTCGCAAACAGAGCAAACAGAAATGAGCAGTGCATGTCCCAAGGCATTAACAAAGAGCAACAGGTTATATATATGGTAGTACCTCTACTAATTTTTGTGTGTTTTGTGTACTGTTCTAGCTGAAACATGGCTGCATGAAGAGAGAAAACTAGGAAGTAGACAGAGAAGAGACTAACGCAACATTAGGACTGATTGGGAAAAAAAATAAAAGAAGAAAAAAATCAAACATCTGAGCACTGATAAAGAAACTGGAGCTACCCAGGCAGTAGTATTCTGCCAGGCAGTCACCTCACATGCAGACCCTTTCATTTGCTAGCAAATTGCAGCATTGCTCCTTCCTGCCCCAAAATAAAGCACTCACAAAAGCAAGTGCAAAGCACACTAAAAGCAGGTCTTATAGTCTGCAAGACCTGGCAGCTACTATTGGTGTCAGGTGAAGAATGTGCACAGGAGAGGCAGAAGGGCCAGGACAGCATCTCCAGGAGCAGTGACAGCAAGGAAAGGAGCCTGGAAAGGAGCTGGGGCTTTTTCTCAGAGCAGAAAGCCTCAAGGCTTTTCTAGAGATGACAATCACCCCTGGGGCAACTCGAAGGATTGCAGTGATCTGTAATTCAGAAAACTTGTACAAATGTACCAATACTCCCACTTGGAGAGGTCATGCCTGAGTGCTTGCTGCAGCAATTCAGCCCTAGCTGATGGCTTCACCCTACCCATCTTTGGCAAACAAGCCTGCTCTCCATAAAACCTACCTGCACAAGTTAAAGCTGCAAGCACTTTCAGTCTCAGGCCATGTCGCCTGCACACTTCCTAGCATGGCCACACCAATGTCACTCCCTCCTGGAGCCCTGCAACTCCCTGCCTTCAGCATGGGAAATCTCCATTCAACCAAGCCAAAACACAGCAATACAAGAGAAAACTGTAGACTGAGACTGGAAGTTCAAAGGGGTGGAAGGAATATGGTTTTCCTTTTAGCATCTCTGATTTTCCATATAACAGATTCTAGCCATTCGTCTCTGGAGCTGATGCCTGGCAGGGACACTGCCGGGAAGCTTGGCATACTGCTCCTGCCACCACCTAAGCCAAGTAGCACACACTGAACTGGGACAGACACCCAGATGCTGCTGTGCTCCCAACACCAGTGTGATGCCTGCAATCACCCAGTCTTGCCACGCTCAAGCCAAGGAGCGCAGGGGAAGGCCCAGCACACAGGAAGGCAGCCAAGAGGCTGAGGCAGCAGCATCCCATCTGAAAAACTTCTCTCCACTTGCTTTCTCAAGGATTTTATCCTAATGAGGTTCCCTCTTCCAGAAGCACATGGAGGGCAGGACAGCCTGCATTTACCAGCAGCTAAAAGCTGAAAGAGTAAGAGAGAAGGAAAGCCCCTAGCCACACTTTGTGCATGGTACCCAGCATGGCTCTGCAAACACAGCCCAGCATAGGTGCTTCAGGAGTGATATGAAAAGACAGGGAAAAGAGGGTTTGCTGCAAGGGAATGGCACGAGGATCAGAGGTAAGAGGGGTGCTTGCATACATGACTAGCCCAAGGCAAGGAGGGGAAATTCCAGGCCCACATGCCTGCAGAGGCTGCCCCAGCCAGAGGTTAGAGGAGGACCAAAAGAACAGATGGAGAAGTAAGAGGGAAAGACAACCTGTAAGAAAGGTACAGGTCAGCCATTTAACTGCCATCAGTGCCCTGCTGCCTCACACCACTCCTAAAATGCTTTTGAATCTTTTCTGATGGAATGTTTGACATATTTAATGCATGCAGTAAAAATTAAAATAATAGATAACTTCATAGTAATCTGTACAGGGACTGACAGGGTAGATTTAATCACTGCCTAGCTGTTCAGAGAGTTAACTTATTCTAGCATGATTCAAAGGAAAGGTAAAGGATTTTATGGGTTTTTCTTTTACATCAGCCATTTCATAGTAAGAAGAAAATGTGCTGCAGCCTTGTTTGTGTCAGCGCTGGGGGAAGGGAATACCTGCAAGACAGCAAGAGGTGCTCTGCAAAGGACGTGCAAATCTCAAACGCCTGGTTTCATCCTCTATACTGAACAGGTACAATGAAACATTTAAAAGATGATTATCTGCTCTCCACCTCAAATTATGGGCTTTAGGATCTGCAGTTCAATGCCAACTGTGACAAACAATTCCCGTTGGCAGCCGAGCCCTCTTTAGCCTCTGCCCCCAGAGCAGGCGTCTCCTGAATGCATGGCCTGCACCAGAGCCCTGCTGAGCAAGGACCTGCAAGTGGCTGTTAAAGGTCAGGCCACTCCAGAGCGTGGGGTGCCCCCTCCAGCACTGCTGCTCCCTGCATGGGAGTAGGCTTGCATCAGGATCTATACAAACAAGCTTTATGAAGCCACTGAGATGCAATGGCTGAGCAGGGTCCTTGCCCTGAGCACAGACCCCAGCAGTCACTTCTCAGCCACTGATAGTCTTTGCCCAGCAGACCCACCACAGCCGCATGCTGTGTGTACTTGTAACAGGTCTTTCTCAGAGGCGCTAGGCACTGTGACCCTGCTCTGCCACTGCTGACCCCCCACTGGCTTTGAAACGTGATGCAGTGGCTTAAAGAGGAGACCTGCAAAGGTGTCGTGCAGGGCAGAAGCTTTCAGACTCCACAGCACCAGACGCAAGTAAGGACAAGCCAACTGCATCTTGCTAGTAAAGGGACAAAATGCAAATTACAGTAAAAAATAGATTTAAGTCAGTCCCTTATCCCAGCCCTATTCCAACTGCAAATTCTGGCTTAGGAGGACACTAGGTAAGATGTGCACAAAAGCACAGGGTGAGGGTCGGGGCTCCTCTTCTGCAGAGCACCAACATCAGAAGGAGCTTGGGCATGTCAAAAGGGAGAGATTAAACCTTTAGCCAAGCACTGCGGAAACTGCTTTGCCATCAGAGACCACAGAAATCACCATGAGGGCAGCAAAATAGGCCTGTCCAAATGCAGGGCATGGCATGACTGATTCATCCCTGAAGCCAGCAAGAAATAAAGACGGATACAGTCCAGTGTGCCCACCTGGCAGCAGTGGATGCAGAAACCTGGTACCCAGAGCCCCTGCAGCGTGTCCCCTGCTGCCTGAGCAGGACACCCACCCCATGGGCTGTGCCATGGCGGGGTGAGGCAGCCATCAGCAGTATACACACCAGTAGCAGGTATCGGTATGGGACACCAGCAGCTGCTACTAACAAACTGAAAAAGGACAGATTCGCCTTTCTCTCCCTCAGTGATGAAAAATGGTTTTGGTTTTGCTTTAAATGCCACTAAGAAGACAGACAAGAGGAGGACTCTGAAGGAAAGGGAAATGTTTGCGTGCACCCAAAGACTGTGAAAGCTACTTCATGTGCACGGTGGTGGTTTTCTTTCTGCTACAGTACAAGTGCTTGTGCCTCAAGTATAAAACGCAAGCCTCCAAATCACACAGACGAGCTTCTTATTTTTATTTTTAAAGTGATAAATAAGGCACTGTACTTTTAACTAAAACTGCCTGGTTCCGAGTTTAAAAAAACTCAAGGAACGTTCAAACTGTAGAAACTTCCTTCTGAACAGCAGAGCCAGACAGGCCAACCTCTTCTCTGCCCAAGACACATCTGCCGATGCCTAAAATCACGGGCGTTATCCTTTAGCTGCGGATTTTTAAAGGCTTGCTACAGCTTATAAAAGCAGCTTTAGTTAATGCATGGTAAAGGGTTACTACTGTACATTGGGTTTGTACATGGCTACCGGTTCTTTGCTATTTCGGGTCCAGTCGCGAGCGTTTGCTGTGCGAACAGTCCACTTTTGCCCTCAGCTTTCTCTTGCCCTGCGACCCGGTGCTCTCCTGCATCTTCTTCATGGACCTTGTCAGGGTCTTCCCACTGCTGGGCTTCTTGTTGGCCATCTTCTGTGACCGTGTGGAGGACTCCCCCAGGGGCTTCTGCTTCGGGGACTTGGTGAGCTCCTCATGGCCAGGGAGCAGCACAGCCCGTCTGCTCGTGTTCTCCTTGCCCTTCCGCATGGGGAGCCGCACCTTCTCCAGCTGCCTTTTTGGGGGTCTCTTCTCTTTCAAAGTCATTTTTCTAGCCAGCTTATTGCTCTTCTCCATGGCAGCCTGCTTTCGGGTGGCAGGAGCTTTCGTGCTCACCTCCGAATGCTTTATTTTACTGGCCTTCTTGGCAGGCAACTTGTCCTTGGTGGAGGAGCCAGACCGCTCCTGTGTGCTTCCACTCTCCTTCAGCGTCCTCTTCTTCCTGC